TATATTTAAACGGCTGCCGTAGTTAAAAAAACATTATTTTTGTGTTAAAATTTTCGATATTCGATTTTAAATTTTCAAATTAAAAATGCTATAACTTTTTGAAATATGTATATATCAGTACAAATTTTTTTTCTTCTAAATACATTATAAGTACATCTTTCATTTGACATACTTTTTATTAAAATTGGACAATTTCCCTTATATAGGGGGCGTTCAAAACTTGAAATATTGAAAAAAACATAGATCGTTTTCAACTGAACTTTTGAAAATGTTCCGAAAATACTGCGTCCTTTAAACATGTATCAAATCAAAGGTTATGTTATATACTATCAAATGAAAAAAAAACATTTGTCCCGACGACCTATCTTCTATGTGCAAATGGCTGTCGAAAATTAAAAAAAAATGTAATGTTTGCGATAAAAATTACCTTTTATCGGGATGTTTTTTGTACTTAAAACTTTTTCAAAAATGAACAAATAAAAATAATATTTTTTTGTATTGAAACCTTAGATATTTCCCTTTCATTTGATATAATTTTTTTTGAAAATCTAACACTTATTCTGCTCACTGGGGGGATTTAAAATAGTAACTTTTTTACAAAAAATAACTTTTTCAACTTAATTTTTGAAAATGTTCCTGAGATATTGCGTCCTTTAAACACATCAAATTAAAGCTTATTTTATGTACTATAAAATGAAAAAAAAAATTTTTCCCGACGACCTATCTTCTATGCGCAAATGGCTACCATATTCAAAAATATGCTATTTTTGCAAATTTTTTTTTTTAAATTAAACACTATCTACAGATTTGCATCGAAGCGTTTCTTATGATAGTGATTTTAATCACTGTCAGATATCATCTATACTGGACTCAACTATGCCACGACCCCACTGTGCTACCGTTTATATTTTTTTTATTATTTCATTCAAAATAAAGGTTAAAGATATAAAAAAAAAAATTTCGAAAAAAAATTTTTTTTTGACTGAGTAATGATTGTTTTAATAGTATAGAGCATTTTTGAGGCGTTTTTGGAACTAAAAAGCACAATACTAACTATACCCTATTTTACCCAAGTATCAATGAATAGATATTGTAGAGCAACTAGTCTAGATTTCAAAAATAATATTTTTTATTGCGGCGGACAAAAATAACTATGCATAAGGCTAATAAGATTAAACCAATTAATACATTTTTTATTTACAATTAGTTTTCATTTATTTCAATTTCTGATATTGAATTGTTTAGATTATTCAATTCATCTTCGACTATGTTTTACTAAATTTATATCTATCCATGTTATGTTCAATGTTCAAATCATTTTAGTTGTTTGATAACATTTATGACTTTTATAGTTGGAAAATGACCATCAGCTTTTAATAAATAAACTTAGTGTTATTGGTATCAATGGTTCATTGCTTCAATGGTTTAAATCCTACCTTTCAGATAGAACCCAACAGGTAACCTTATCAAATATTGTATCTTACTCTTTTGTTACAACTTCGGGAGTTCCTCAAGGTGGACATTTATCTCCATGGTTTTTTTTGTTATTCATTAATGATGTAAAAAATGTATTTAAATATTGTAATTTTCATTATTCGCTGATGATCTTAAAATGTATATCGAAGTTGAATAAATGCAAGATTGTGTTAAACTACAAAAAGATCTTACTTGCTTTTCTAGTTGGTGTATCAATAATAGATTAAAAATTAACATTAATAAATGCGCTGCTATATCTTTTACAAGAAGTAAAAATCACTTCATTTATAATTATTCATTAGATAATCATTTAATTAAAGTAGTTTCCACCATCAAAGATTTAGGTATAATTTTTTCCACTGATCTTTCATTTAATGATCATGTATCCTATATTTATTCAAAGGCTATGAGACTCATTGGATTTGTAAAACGACAGTGCTGGGACTTTAAAAACATACTATGTTTAAAAACATTATATTGTTAACTTATTCGTTCAGGTATTGAATATGGTTCAATAATTTGGAACCCCTACCAAATTTGCAATATTCGTAAATTAGAAAATTTACAACTTCATTTTTTAAAATTTGTAATATTTAAGTTGAGGTTAAACATTTCAGTTGATGATCTACAATCTAAACTGAATTTACAATCTCTCGAATCGAGACGAAAATTTAATGATGTTTCCTTCATATATAAGTTATTAAACAATAAAATAAATTGTCCTGAAATTCTTGGAAAAATAAATTGGTATGTTCCTACTATCAATACACGCTCTGCGACTACCTTTTATGAGTCATTTCACTCTCAATTGTATAGCTATAATGAACCCATAAGTCGAATGATAAGAGAAAGTAACAAAATTTCATTTGATTTTAACTTTGATAATGAATCTAGTCTTCGGTCTTTGTATTTGTATAATAGTTAATATTTATAAATTTATGCCATCTATATGCCAAAATTTATAGCATTATGTATTATTATTATTATTATAAATTTGTGAATACTTTATGTTAAATAATTTGTACACTCTATTGCCCGATAAGGGCGTCAATATATATAAATAAAAAAATAAAATAAAATTAAAGAGTATTCTATAAAAATGCATTTATCGAATTATAATTTCTTGATTTTCGACAAAAGTATTAATTAATTTAAGAATTTAACATGTTTTTAGATCTATGAAATATAAAAACTATTTATTAATATTAATACTAATCAAAAATATTCTAAAAATGTTTATTTTAAGATGATTACATAACTGAAAAACGGATAACACACCGTGATTTGTTCGAACTCGTGCGACAAAAATGTTCGATGCAACGTGTGACATCTGTGGGTGCCCGAAAATTAATAGTTACGCACATACATGAAAGGTATAGTGGTTTAAAGTGGAAAGTACATCAAACCCATAGAAAGTACAATTTTAAATTTTACTTTGGCATTAGCTAAAAAGTGGACTTCATCATTTCGAAATTCGACCAAGTTTGCGAAAAAAATAGAGAATGGCTTGATATGACTTTTAGTATTCATAAAAACACGCTTAAAAAGAATTCAATTTCAACCCTACAGAGTCTTGGTTACCCTGTAAAAGAATTTATGAGTTGTGAATAGTGTACTAAAAGACGTAAAATAAATAATGTTTTGTCATCTGCTGAAATTCACCATGCCTCACACTATACTTATAATGTATCTGGTCAAAGAAGCATAGCACAAGTTGTAAAAGAGTCTATAACAATTTAATTTTAATAAGAGTTTAAAAAAAAATAATACCAGTTTTAAATTGCAGAAAATTAATTTTGAAAATATCATTTTTTACTGTATTGTAATTTAAAGATATTTTTTTCAATTTTTAAAAATAAAGTGTTTTACTAATTTACAACACTTATAGCTTTAATTAAATTAAAATCCTATTCTATGGCGAATTGATCATTAAAATCAGGCCAGTGAGACCTGAGAATTTTCATGTATAGACATAAAAAGAACGCACATTATGGTGAAACTTATAACTTCTCAGCTTCGTATCTGATACGATCACATTTGCATGTGCCCATATCTCTGTCTCCCATAACATCGTTGTACCGTTTAATAGACATATATATATAATTAACACAGTGGCATACAACAATACTAACAGGAGGGCGGACTGCACACATAAACACTTTTTGCAATTCACGGCCAATGTGCCATATTAAGATATCCCTATCGACAGTTGACCTTTTACCATCTTCGCGATCACTACTTGTCTAATAATTAACTTAACTTGCTACCCCGTATATTATAGTGTGTGTGTGTGTCGCCGTCAGCTCCCTGTTGGATTATATCATCTCTAGGTGTCCAGCAGGTTGTATTATCTATTTAATATTTTAATTGTTTAATAAATATTTATTTATATCGTTGTTAACCTAAAGTGTTATATATATATATTGTAGTGCGACCCTTGGTAGTTCCTCTAAGGGAATATAAATTAAATAGGAAACTTCAGTACCTAAGGTAGATATAGCCTAGCCAGCTATCCCCCGTTGGTCCCTTAGAATACTGTCGACGGGCATTTAGGCTAAACCCCTAAATAGCGACGTAACATATCCAAACTAAAATTATATTCAGAATAGCACATCAATGAATTAAGTCACACTATATAAAATGATTTTCTTATCATAACTTAATTACTTACAGAATTAATATAATTTAAACATTTTTTTTGTTTTCTTTAGTTACACATTGTTCTTGCATTGTGAACTCTTTAATTCTTTTTAAGTTCATCCCTTATACCTTGTAATGGTGTAAATTTTTTTTTTTTTTTAATGGTACACACACATTTTGAATTTAACAAAATGTTTCTGTTTTAAATTTAATAGTAAATGGCGTTTAAATTTTTATTGTAACTTTAATATTTTATTAGATATAAACATTTAAAGTTTCAAATTTTCGTGGTAATATTAGGTATTATAACTATAATTATAGGTAGTTTTGTATGACGTCGCTGTCACAGTTGCGGAATGTTTATTGTCAATTATGACTATCAATAGATATATTTCTGTATTGCCAGTATTTATAAACTCACAACAATGTGCTATTTACCATTGATAATAAATGCTGTTAACTTGCGATTATCGATGTCATTAAAAACCTGTGTATGTAGTCTTTAAGGCAGGTTTAAAATCATATTATTTTGATTTGATAATTTTTAAAAATGTTATTGCAGTTTTAAGAAAAAAAAAATGAATAAATAACAAAATTTAGCAATTTTAAAAATTGTAATTTTTTTGAAGAATTCCCCCATTTACGGGGAACGAGGAAATATTTTCTATTTTTAAGGGTAATGACTTTAACTAGATACGATATGTGATCTTTTGGCGTATTATTAAAAGAAATTGGTCATGTGAGAACTGAGTAAAAGTGGTAACAGAAAAAAAATCATCATTGTAAAATTAATTTCTTCTCAGCTTCGCATCGAAGATAAAATAATTAACAACAGGAATACTCAAATAGAAGTTTATTTATAGATCTTTGTATAATAGATCATTGTAAATAATGTAATAATTTTCATTTTAAGAGTTTTTTGATATCTGAAAAAAAAATAATTTTGTTAATTACTATGATAAATATTTCTTTTAGGATTGTATAAAAACATTTTGTGTCTTAAATGTTTTTATAAAAGTAAAATAATGTTGATTTTCAACGCGATAATCATTAGCTGGAACCATCATTTTTCATAAATTATTTTTTAGGTTCTACTTATTTTTAAAATATAAGTTCCGGGTCTAATTGATAAGAATTAATGTAAGTACTAATATAAATATTTATTCTGATATTTCGGAAAACTGAGGTCCATATCTTAAGATTTATAATAGATAGAACCCCAATTATCAAAATAAAATTTTTTTTTAAGAACGTTTATTAGAAAATTTACATTCTATACAGCTATATGTACAATAAGTAAATATGTGAATACGAATAAAATTGACAATGATATGGCGGTGAGGATGAAGCTCACATTAGAGCCACCTGTGTATTATTAATGTTAAGTGGGTTAAATAATATTGAGAAGGTCTCTTGATTAGTTGCGTTTGAGGCACCTGTTTGGATTATCCGGAAGAATTGTTGAGTGTAGCTGAGTGACGAGACGGTTTGGATGGGATTGTATTTTGGAATGTAGTCTTTTGTAGTATATGGGTGCAGTTTTAGCAAGCCCAGGTATTTCGCTTCCCTTGCTTGTGGAATAATAGTGTTGTTGGGAATTATGTTAGGACAGTCATTTTGACGAAGGGTGAAGGTGATGTGGGTAGATTTTAGTTTGTTGATTTTTATTTTCCAGGTGTCACACCACTTAGATAATATGTTGAGGTGAGATTATAAAAATTTGCTACAGTTATGCGGATCTTAATCGGCAGCTAGTATTGCAGTGTCGTCTGCGTATGTTCCGATGAGTGTGTTTGTGGTATGTGGAATGTTAGCTGTGTAGATGATGCATAAGAAAGGAGCAATATCGTTACCTTGGGGGACTCCGGCTTGAATATTATGATGATCGGATAGTGTGGAATTAAGTTTGACTCTAAAAGACCTGTTTTCAAGGTATGATTTTAGTAGTAAAAAGTATGGTGCAGGAAATATTTTTTTTAATTTATATAGTAAACCGGTGTGCCAGATCGTGTCGAATGCTTGCGCGACGTCGAGGAATACGGCAGAGCAGTATTTTTTGGATTTGAGAGATGTAGCAATAGTATCTACGACTCTGTGGAGTTGATGGAATAAGGCATGTTTTGGTCGGATACCAAACTGAAATTCAGGTATGGTATTTTTCTTTTGCGCTAATGGGAGAAGTCTGTTGAGGAGAAGCTTTTCGAAGATTTTTCCGAGAACTGGTAAAAGACTAATTGGTTTATATGAGGTCGACTTTTCTGGGGGTTTTTCAGGTTTTAAGATGAAGATAATAATTGCTGTTTTCCATGTAAGGGGGAAGTAAGAAAGGCGAAAGATCNAAGGTTTAAAATGGAGATAATAATTGCTGTTTTTCACGTAAGGGGGAAGTAAGAAAGGCGAAAGATCGCGTTGTAAATATATGTAAGCAGTATGATTGTTTTGGGCGGTAGATTTTTTATTATTTTGTTACTAATAAGATCGTGTGCAGGTGACTTGTTGGTCATGAGTTTTTTAATCATTGATGACATTTCTTTNCATGAGTTTTTTGATCATTGATGACATTTCTTTGGGAGTGGTGGGTTTTGCAGGAAGGGCCATTGGTAGTGAAGACGTGTTAAATCGGTTACTAGATCTAAGTGTGTAGTATCCGGGAAGATTAAGCGCGGCTTGAAGACATTGGCGAAATGTTCAGCAAGTAGCTCGACCTTTTCTTGAGTAGAGACAGCTAGGGAGTTGTTTTTACGTTGAAGTTGAGACGTGACTGATTTGTGTTTTAATAGTGATTTAGTTTTCTTCCAAAGGGAGCCATTATTTGGTGATAGGGATGACAGGTGAGATTTGTACATCTCATTTTTGTGCTTCTTTAGTAGTTTTTGAGTTTATTTGTTAGAGAGATATATGTATGTCTGTCTTCAGGGTTTAAATATATATTTTCGTCTTATATATGATATATATTAAGATGTATTTTGGAAGGAAATAATAATTCTTATACATATCACATATAGAAAAAATTTTGAGAACGTTATTTTATTTATTTATTAATTTATTTATTACGCCTTAGATGAGCAAAAGTTACAGAAAATATTACAATAATTACATAACATTAATAGATATTTAATATAGTGAACACGGTGGATCATAAAAAAAATCAAACTTAATAAATTTATTACAATACATACACATACGATTTAATGGACTATAGTAACTGTAATTCTGGCGGTGGCAATCAATATGAAATAATGGGTGATGCGTTGAATGAAGGAACATTAAATTTAATTTTATTTAATAAATCAGGACAATCAATTTGATTATTAATAATTTTATATACAAAATTTACATTATTAAATAGTCTACGTTTTGATAACGGATCTAGACCGCAATGTTTAGCAACGTTAGAAACATTATTAATTGGTAATTTTAATTTAGGCGCTAAAAATTTTAGGAAGCGATTTTGAATACTTTCAAGTTTATTTACCCAAATACCTGTATGGGGGTTCCATACAACAGAACAGTATTCCAGAATGGAGCGAACAAGTGAGCAATACAGTACTTTAATACAAGCGGCATTATTGAATTCCCAAGTATTGCGTCTAATAAAACCTAATACTTTTAATGATTTTTTATAGATTTTATCTAGATGTAATTTAAATGATAGGTCACTAGATAACCAAACACCTAAATCCTTTACAGAAAAAACTACATTCAAGGATATCTTATGTATCTGATAACTAAATAGTATTGGATTAGTACGACGTGAGAATGATATTTGTTGACATTTATTAACATTTATGTTTAATTTATTAATTCTATACCAATCGGAAAATCGATCTGTGTCTGCTTGTAACTCTAAACAATTATTAAGTGTGCTAATTGGATTATATAATTTTAAATCATCAGCAAACAGCAGAAATTTGGAATATTTAAAAACTTTATCTAAATCATTTACAAATAATAAAAATAGAAGTGGTGATATATGACCTCCCTGAAGCACACCTGAGGTAACTTCAATAGAGTCTGATAGAATATTATTAATTTTTACCTGTTGTCGTCTATTGGATAAATATGACTCAAACCAACTTAATAATGGACCATGTATACCCAGTAATTTAAGTTTACATAATAATATTGTAATATCCACAGTATCAAAAGCTTTTTTAAGATCCGTATAGATAACATCGACTTGGCCACCATTCTCAACTGTGGAAATTAAATCTGAATAAAAAACTAATAAATTAGTACTAGTTGATCGATGTAACCGGAAGCCATATTGATTAGAGGATAGAGTTTGCTTAAAAATAGTTGTTAATTTATTGTTTATTATTTTCTCGAGTAGTTTTGGAATTACANGTTTATTATTTTCTCAAATAGTTTTGGAATTACACTTATTTTTGAAATAGGCCAATAATTTATGACAGATTCTTTATCACCAGATTTGAAAATTGGTGTTACATAGTTTAATTTCCATTTGTCGGGTAAGACACCTGATGATATTGACCTTTGGAAGATAGTAAATATAGGAACTGATAAGGCATATCTGCAATGTTGCAAAAAGAGAGCAGGGATTAAATCAGGACCAGGAGAAGGGTTATTACCAACCTGAGTAAGAGCTTGAAATATGTCACCTAATGAGAAATCTACGTTTGACACACTTGCATTACAATTATTATTATTACTATTATCAAAATTCAATAATGTTGGTTGTGTTTGTTTTAAGTATACAGATGCAAAATATGAACTAAAGATATTAGGAATGTCATTTATGTTATCAGAATGGAGATTATTATAAGTAATTGAGTTTAATATTGGTTTAGACGCTTGTTTGTTTTTGACGTATTTCCAGAAATATCTAGGATTATAAATTAATGAATTTTGAGTTTTGGTTAAATAATTAAAATAACAAGATTTAGATAAATTTTTACATTTTTTCCGGCATTGTGAAAAATTATTGTAGTCAGATTGATTATTAGTTGATTTATATATATTATGTAATTCTTTTTTCTTATGAATAAGCATTTTAAGATCTATAATAAATCATTGTGGGAAATTATACTTTTTTGGGTATTTTTTTTTGGTACATATTTGGTAATTAAATTATAAATTTTGTCATAGAATATGTTTACAATTTCATTAACATTTTTATTTTCGAATAAGTTGTTCCAATTTATGAGTCCTAACGACCAACATATTGAAGTATAGTCAGCTGTTTTGAAATAATAATACCAGTTCGAATCGACATTGTAGTTTAAATTTCGAATAACACCATAATTACTATGTATCGAAAGTGCTGGGTGGTATTTATCCAAAGGGACTAATAATTCATCACAAATATCGATTGTTGTTGAGTTTGCAGAAGTAAATACTAGATCGAGGGTGGAGCCCATAAAATTTGAATGTGTGTTAACTTGAAAAAAATTATTATAGGCATAAATATCAAAAATTTCATTAGCCTGTGGTGTAAGTATGTTGTTAGTAATTAGTCCAGTGTTATCACTGGTTATGACAGTTTTCGGTAGGTTGAAGTCACCGGCGACAATGTATTATACTTTATTGCCATTCTTAGATAAGACCCAATCGACTGTTTGAGCGTGTATAGAATACAAACTGGTATGGCTATTTGGTGGGATATAACAGGTTCCAATAATAAACGTTAAAACCTTACCAATAGTAACGGCAATGAACAATTGATCAATAGTGTTGTTAGGTATATCAATAATTTTAGACAAAAACTTATTACTAACGCATATTGCAACACCGCCGCCTCTATTACAGTTACTGATTGCATAGTTCCTATCAGATCTATAAACAGAGTAGTTATCAAAGCCCAATTCACAATCATTAATATTATTATTTAGCCAGGTTTCAGTTAATATAAAATAGTCGAAACACATAGTATAAATATTGCGTCTAAGTATACATAATTTAGAACGAAGACCTCTTACATTTTGATAATAGCATTTTAAAGATTTACACTTATATGGTTTGTTATTTAAACTAATGGAAGTACTTAAAAAATTATCTTGGTTACTTGAATTTTGTGTATTTATTCTTGGGCGGGTTGGACGTTTTTTTGAGTCAGAATTGGATTTCCATGAACTAACTTGATATACCAATTCGAGTCTCCAGCGTCGATTTTAATTCATAGTTGCAATTTGACTTCATTGAGTTGGTTTCTCTGCATCATCGTTAGGTCACAGGTGATCCATATGCGGTTCCAGTAGTCAGATCGCCGCAATTTTGACTTTGTTTTCAAGATCGACAGTACTGCATCATTACTTTCCAATTCTACTAAAATAGGTCGAGGTTTATTTTGGTTATTACCCAACCGAGTGGTTTTAATGATAGGTAGATTTGGAACTATGTGGTTTATTATATTAGAGGTAGACTTATTAGTTTCATCGATAGATTCTTTGTTATCAGGAACGTTGTAAATTATATTATTACGTGATTTTTTTAATCGAACTTGTGTTTCGTGAACCGCCTCAAAAGGCAAAATAGTTTTGTTATTATTTAATAAATCGATTTGTTGGCGCAAATTCGATACCTCTGTTTTCATATCATAATTAGTTTTCAAAGTAGAAACAGTACCAGATAATTCATCGAAATACTTCCTAATTTCAACAAATTCAGATTTTTGCTCCAAGACTGAAGTTTGGATGGCTTCAAGTTTGGTGTTCATAGATTTGATAGATGATTGTAACGTTTGCAAAGATTGCATAATATCAGTGGTATCATTGGTTGGATTTTTATTTGTTTTACTCCTAGTGTTATAAAGCAGGTTTGGAGAGTTTTCTTTAGATTTAGTTGATGTAGCCATAATGAAACTAAAAAACGAACGATCATGGAAATAAACAGATAAGAAACCGGTAGTTCACCATACGTGTTTACCGCACAACCGCTAAACTGTAACTGTAACTGTTACTACTATTTATTAGGATTAAAAATATTCATCGGGGATAATTTAAAATAAAATGTAGTCTATATAACAATACAATGCACACCCTTTTTAAGAGTAAAAATGTATAACAAAAATAATTCAAAAAGCATTTTTTTTTTTTTTTTTAAAAGGATGGTTTTGAGGTATTAAAGTTTCAAGATTTAGTATTTGTGTTAATCATGTTTAGCGTTGCTCTTTTTTGACCATAACGAACAAATAAGAATTCTTCTACGTTGCGCATTCCTTTTAACTAAAAACTATAATAACTCAAAAAATAATAATACAAAACTAGTTACTGACTAGTCAAAATTGTATTCAGACTATACTTCATTTAATAGTAAAATAATATTAATAGGTTCCTGTTTAACTTTTGAAGGTAACTCTTATAATTTACCTATAGGAATTTTTTAATTTTTGTAATAGACTTTACATTAATATTGGTTCATAAATATAGAAAATATTTCAATATATGCATTCTTATAAAAAAAAAAACATTATTTAATAAAAAAATGGAGGTGCTATGATTAATAAATCAAACAGTATAACAATGTGATTTTTTTTTTTTTTTGAGGAACGAATATTTGCAAAACGATGAAATCAAAATAGCTGTATAAATCATTTCATATAATATAGGCTCTCATTAATTAAAACGAAAGTTCATACTTTTACATAACTCTTCTAGAAGTAATGTATTAAATGTATATTAAAAATTCATTGATTTTTATAATGATATATTTAAGTAGTCTATATATTATTTTGAGTAAATCAAATGAAAACCAGATTTAGACATGTTTCTTGGAATATATAAATATATATCTAAATGTATAACTTTTATTTTAGTAGTAAAGTTGTTAGTCTAAAACATTAATATTATTTAAAATTTAAAAAATTACCTTTCAATTTAAGTACTTTTTCGGGTGCCCTACCTAATGTATATAGAGTTTTCTCTAGTATTTCTTCATTTATTTTATATAGCGTAAATATAACATGTGCTACCCCCAAAGTAATATATTCGTTATTCTTTGAATGACTTTGCAAATCATCAGCTAATCCACTCAAAAGTTCATTTATATTATCACGATATAATACCATTGCTTCGTTTATTGTCATTGGATTTTCTTCTAATCGAACATAAAGAAAAAATGTATTAATTCGTATAAACCAACGAATTAATGGACAAAACGGTNGTAAAATTAAATGATTTTCTTAATTGTTCATTTTCTACATTTGTTAAGATATTAATTTTAAAAATTAATATTATTTATATTTGCACTACAATCGGTCGTGTCAAAGAGAGTTCAGATGCATTTTATTTTTATGATTCTGTTGTGTTGTTTTGACATCTGGTAAGTTGTGTCGCAGTTGATGTCGGATCACTATTCGATTTGCTTATTTTGGTGTTTTATGTGTTAAATTCACTTTATGTACGTTGGTTTATACGAATTAATGGACAAAACGGTGCGTATTAGTATTCCGTTCTTCAGCAACAGAAGTATATATTTTACAGCTGATTTCGTCGGGCTGGGCTGTAATAATTGACACATTGAAACACTTTTCATCTTGGTACGAGAAAGCGCAGGTCAAATTATATTTTATGTTTTTGTCTAAATATTAATTGCTAAGAATATTTTACGTTGTTATATTTTATTATTTGTTTAAGTGTAAATTACTAACCATAGGTTTAAGGTATAAATTATTGTTATTATTGTATTGGATAATATTAATAGGGGAATATAAATTACAGTACACAAAAATGTATTTTTATTTTATTCTTTTTTTATTTAATTTAAAAGGAACCGGTAGAGACGCGATTTAAAAGGGCGAGTGGTTATCCGAGTATTTCGCGTCATACAACAACTTAACTATTATTTAGATAATGATTAAAAAAAAAATCAAATAATAGGTCAAAATTTAATTTTGTTGTGCTTTAAGAGATAAGTTTAACCATCTCGATCTCTTTTAGCTTCAATGCGAAGCTGAGAAGGTATTTTTTTTTTGTTTCTTTATACGCTCAATATCAGCTTTCGCTGGATCGATTTTGATGAAAAATATGTCAAAAGATCACAAATCGTATCTAGTCGAAGACATTACCCTCAAAATTAGAAAAAAACTCTCTCGTTCCTCGTAAATGGGGAAATCCTCCAAAAGATTACAAATATAAATTCTCTAATTTTAGACTTTTAAAAATTTTTTTTTTATTTAAAATTGCCATAACTTTTTTAAAAATAACCAAATTATTATATATATATTTTTTTATAGGTACCTTAGGTTTTTACCTATCGTTTTATATATTTTTGTGAATATTTGACCCTTTACCAGCCCATAGGAAGTGTTTCAAAATGGTAACTTTTTCAACTTAATTTTTGATAATGTTCCGGAAAGACTGACACTTATATATATACCTTAAATTAAAGATTATGTAATACACTTTATTTTGAAAAAAAAAATTTGACCTTTGGACTTTGGATCTTCGTGGTAAAAATGGACATATGTTCTCCATACAGACAATTAAAATCATTCATTTCTAATGTTTTCAAAATATTTATTGACGAATCAAGTTTGATATGATAATTTGATAAGTTAGGTTTCAAACACAAAATTAAATCATTTTNAGTTAGGTTTCAAACACAAAATTAAATCATTTTACTTTGTAATTTAATAATTTTTTACTCTATTTGTGTGTGCTAACTAGACTATAATATTCCAAATTTGTTGGTAACATGTTGCTATAGAAATCATTTCTAAAAAAAATTATTGTTAGTTTCTCCTGAATTAACAATGGATTTTTACAATTATAATCAAATTTTATAATACGCTCAATTGAGTAAATTTTTTTAACAACATTGTTTTGATTGATTCATTTAGTTAAAGTAAATCATTAAAATTAATTAAATTCTGAATATTTCAATTGTAGAATCCTTTTAAACACCAAAAGTTATTAGGAAATGAATACTATAACTTCTATTTAAGTTATCTATTAAGATAAAAATGCAAAAAAAATATTGAGCTATTCTGAAAATTTACTCTAAATAGTATTTATAAAACTTTCTGACTGCATATTAATATAACGATNTTCTAAATAGTATTTATAAAACTTTCTGACTGCATATTAATCTAACGATACAATTTTTTTGATACTCATAAATATTTCTATTTAATGATGTCAATTTCAATATTGCTAATTGAGCTAAAAGTT